AGTTGAAGGCTTATTTTATGAAGGTTTACATTGCATATAACGAAAATTTTGAAATTTTTGAAAATTTACCTAAATTTATATTTACTCGCTGCCATTATTATTACAACAAGTTTTATTTACTGGAAATCTAAAAATGTATGCATACTTAAATGTAAACAAATCATTAAGAAGGCGCAACAGGAATTTGGTGTAGTTGAAAGTAATAAATAGCAATATACCCGTTCCTAAATATATACATACAAATACATTCAAATATATATGCAGATATCTATGTACATATGTATATAAGTATATGTATTAAAATTTGATTTTTTAATTTCATAATTTTATGTAAATAATATTCATTTTTTTCTTAATTTTTTTTTTTCTTTTTTCTTCTGAAAACCCAAACTCATGCCGCTGTGGGGAAGATCCCTCATTTTCGATTGAAACCAAAGAAATCTAAAGTTTGCACGTGACATTATTGTAAGTTTTCCCATAAGTAAAGAAAGCAGCAAAATAATGCTGAAGACGAGGAGCTACATATACATACATATATGCACATACGAGCCAGTCATCGATGGGGTCATTACACCTGATAACACAGTTCAGAGCTACTGCACACTTACTTAGCGTAACATCGTAAACAATAACAAATAAGAATATCTTTGTTCATATGGAACTACGCTGAGGCGTTTATCTTATCTTATCTTCAATAGACAAAACGTTGAAGCAGTTAAAGCAATTATGGGAAGTTTAAAAAATGTTTAAAAATATGTGTGTTATATTTGACGCGTTTATTTTGACAGTTTATATCAATTACATTATAAAAAAAATTAAAAAAAATACAAAAATATATATAGGTATATGTATGTATGTACAGTGAAACTTCTCTTAATGGGCACCTCTATTAAGCGTGCACTTTTTCAATATCCTTCAACTTTTTTGCCAAACAAATTCACCTCTGATAAACGGGCACCTCTATTGGCTGGCCAAAAAATCTGTTGCCGTTGGTGCCCGCTTATGGGAAGTTTCTCTGTATATTCAGCTGCACTTAGGGTCTCATGCTTTCCTCATTCCAATTTGAAAAATCATCTGGTATGATCAAAGTGGCACTTATTAAGTTTCATTCAAGGAACCATAGCAGAAATACGCTGTTTCAAAGACGTTCGTGTTTTTAGGCAAATGAAAGATACACAAGGCAAGAGGCTTAAAATATGCATATTTCTCCTTTTTTTTTAAATCTATTCTAAAACAATCTAAGAATTTCAGTGGGCAATTCGACATATTTTAGAAGCTAAAGCAGTTTTAATGGCACAGCAGGTTGGAATGCTGGGGCAGAACTTTAAGCGCATTTTCTCGAGTGTTCATTTTTACAAGTCTTAGAAAACGGTGCCTGTGATAGCACAAAGAACATATGTATGTCGCAAAAAAATCAAAGTGATCGACCTTCAGTATTAAATTATTATTAAAACTACTTTTTTTGCGACTTGAAATATTTTTTTTTTTTTTTTTCAAAAAGCTATTTTTTTAATATAATAAATATTCCAACTTTTTCGGTAATTTTTTAGTTCATATCGAGCGACACTCAAAAAAATTAAAAAAAAAATTAATTTGGTTGCACTGTTCCAGACGCATCGCACGACCTCCACCATGGCCGACACCGTTTCACGAGTTCAGTCTGCTTCAGAATGTTTTTTGAAGCTTAAATATAGTACATTATTAACTGAAAATTTCGTTCACCACAATAATTTGGTGAAAAATCGCTTTTTTTCGGTTTCCAAAGGACCCTACTGGCTTGAGATCTTCAATAGTAGAGCACAGTGATCCATTGATCAAAAACTGCCACAGAATTCTTTACTCAGTTTGGAAATATTAAACCTTTTAGTGCACTTTTTTTTCGCACAAGCCAAAAAAGAAACAAACAAATCTCAAAAATCTAGATTCTCAAAAGTTAAAAATAAACTCTCAAGTACAAATTTTTCCAAGCACCCAAACCAAATTCACATTAAAAAAAAAAAAAAACGAAACAAAAAAATAATAAAGAAATAAAACAGATTAAGTACATGCATATGTATGTATTGTATGTGTATACAAGTGTATTAAGCATACAAGTAAATGAGGCTGCTAAACGTTTATATTCGCTGTGGATTTCCAACAAGCATACTTGCCTGCCAGATACCTCTAGCACTGCTGACAAGTGTACAAAGAGCCGTAGCAGAGCAATTGCGGCGCTTGTTTCAATTTTTCTAGCTTTTCTTGCAAGAAAAGTGTTTTACTGCCTTGTGCTGTATAAATAGCCAAAGACACGTAGCAAAAAAACATTTTTTTATTAAAAAAAAAAGTTGAAACAAGATCTTCATTTGTTGCCAGGAGCCTGTGACTGCTTTAGGGAATTTTTTCCTCAACTAAAGCAATGACTACCTATATGGCTGTTACATATGTATATGTCTACATACATATATATAGTACATATGTGCGTGTAGTTAAATTTATTTATGCTTTATATTTCTCACACATTCGCTAAGTTTAATGAAGTTATTATCGCGTAGCAAACTTTATCTACTCCTCTTTGTTAAGTTCCAGCAATAATCGGCTGTTGAGCTGTTGACAGGGAGACTTCAAGCAGCAATAATCTTTCTTACGCTAACTCATTTGGTAAATTTTGTACTTTTAACTATAATTCATATACCCACATGCATACATACATATTTATTTATGTACGTATTCTTTGCTCGATTTCGACCACATTGACTGCAGTCAAAGGAAAATTGTAATCATCGCGGAAAACGTGATGCGGCTTTTTTTACATTACACATACACACTAATGTATATAGTAGATATATATACGTGCACTAGAAATATGCATATTTATATGAAATGCATTGGTAATGTTTCCATGTTTACTTTTTTAGCGTCAGTCGTGCCGCCAAGTAGGAGGTCGCTGTTACAGAAAATCAGTCAGACGTACCAAAGCTTACAGTGGGCGGTGATTCAGTAAAAGTATAATATAATTTTCGATTAGGTAGGCGAAAGAGATTTTATATCGAATGCCTGCTGTTTCATAATTGTAAATGGAAAAAATTAAAAAAAAAAACACTAATGAAAATGTGAGAAATTCTTTATTCTCTAGTGCGTATTTTAATTCATTTTATGTTTTTTTAGTTTATTTTGCTTCTTATTATTTACTTTTTTACGGTATTTTAGTTAACTTAATTTATATTTATTTAATTTTATTTTATTTTTTATTTAATTTTTTTTTTATTTTTTTTTATTTTATTTTTTTTTTATTTTATTTTTTTTTATTTTTTTTTTTTTATTATATTTTATTTTTTTTTATTATATTTTATTTTTGTTTCATATTTTCATTATTTTAATCTCATTTTATTATATGTATTGCTATTTTGTTTCACTTTCTTAATTTACTTTATTTTAGTTTATTTACCGTTATTTTATTCTATTATATTATATTTTTTATTTAGTTAGTTAGTTTCTTTATATTTTACTTTGTTTTTTACTTTTTTACTTTATTTTAATTTTTTATTTTATTACTTACTGCTCATTTCTTTTTATATTTTTTGAATCTAGTATAATTATATTTTTAATGCAGACTTTTTAGTTGATTTCGTTGTTTTTTAATTTATTTTTTTTTTTATTTCACATTTGTTTTTATATATTTTGTTATTTTTTATTTTATTTTATTTTATTTTATAATCGTTTTCCAATTAACTTTATTGTGTTTTATTTGTTATTTTCCTTTATTTTATTTTTTTTTTTAATTTGAATAAATTTTATTTATTTATTTTATTTTATTTTATAATCTTTTTTCAATTTACTTTATTTTATTTTTTTATTTTATTTTACTTGATTTTTTTTTATTTGAATAAACCTTATTTTTAATTTAATTAAAAATATTGTATTTTTTATTACAAATAAAATTTTATTTTATTTATTTCACTTTTTTTTATTGTGTTAATCTTTTTAAATTATTTTATTTTGTTTTATGTTATTTTACTTTATTAATTTGTATTTATTTTATATTATTTTAATTTATATTTTTATTTCTTTTTATTTCATTTTATTATGAATTTTTTCTTTAACTTGTTATTCTTATTTATAGATGTTTTATTTTGTTATATTTTATATTTTATTTTTCATAAAGGCTTATATTTTCTCTATTTGCAGAATATACATACATATGTACATAAATATTATTTAATAATTTAAAACTAAATAAATTTTTAACTAAATTGATTGCTTTATTTTTACATTAAATTTAAATAAACCATCGGCATCAAACTGCGTGGCTGGTAATTTGAAAAAAAAAAAAAATGCAATATAGAGATTATGAGACCACAAAAATAATAGAATCCATTCTTGCTTCCTTAGAACTCCAATGCCAAGTGTGTGAGAAAGTGTGAAATGTGAGCTCGAGTAGAGACATAAAGTCATAAAGTAACCGCGAAGTTGGTTACAGCGGATTACACAGCTTGAGAACTACCAAGAACGGTAGTAGAAACCAAGAAATATGTACATACATACATATGTATATACATATATATGTGGTAATGTAGTAAAATAGACACTTCGCCGTGTCACTAAATTAATGGCAAACAACCGCAAATAACTAATAAAAGAATAAAACACACATACATACATAATGTATGTATACCAAACCGTTAGGTGTCAAATTACATAAAACACTAAAGTAGCCGATAAAAATGCCTTTAACACTAATGCCTATAATTAGTTTTTTATACAGCTATTAATTCTCTTCGATAAACAAGCCTTGCACAGATGTCGCTGCTGGACTTCCTTTCACGAATTTAGCGCGCACAGGAACTAGAAGCGCAATACGCGGCAAGCGACTCCTTTGCATACATAAATACTTTAGTACTTCTTTTTGCGCAGTAAGTCCAATGAAAACAAACATCCCTTTTTTAGGCACACTTTCTTATACAAATAAAGCTACTGACAGTTTTTTTTTTTTGTTTTTTCCTTGTTATCCTCTATGTACACACCTGGACTCGAAGAAGTTTGCCTCGCGCGACATCAATTCATGCCGGAACTTGTTCATCTCCTCTTCCATTTTGCGCATTTCCGCATCGAAACGCTCACGAATGCTCGAGAACTCTGTATCGATAATGCTGAAGTCGCCCAATTTGATGGGGATATTCCTCTTGTTAGCATCAGCCATTTTTTCTAAATTGATTCTTTAACACAAATTTATTGATTTATTCACGAAAATTATTTGTATTGCTTGACGAAACAATTTTGGTTTTTATGTTGTTTTTTTATTTTTTTTCTCTGCTATACGTCTATCACACTTGACAACTTTTTTCCTTCTGTTCTCTTAGTATTTGCTTTTGTACAATTTGACTTTTTGCTCCGCACAAATGGCAAAGTTTTCACTTGAATTTCTACTTTGAGACTAATTTGTATCTCACTCATTCACCGATTTTTATTTGCTCGTGTGCTTGGTTGCTTTTCGTGGTGCACTTGCAGATACTTTGGGAAAATACTCAAATTTTGTATGAGAGCATCGGAGAGATTGCACTCAATTGGGTGGGTTGTATTCGATGTTAGGGGAAAAAGTGTACTATAAAGTAAAAGCTACGAAAGTGTAGCTTGAGCTTGTAATATTACGTTTGCTGTTCTTTTTAAGTTTAAATTTAAATAAAATAAATATTCTAAAACTATTTTGAGTAAAAAAAATTATTTCGTGTTATTTGTAATAAAATACAACTACAATAATATGTAAAAGATATTAATCGCAATTTTTTCCTTCTCTTTGCTCCTTTGCACTATTTGGTGATACCAAGTAAAACAAGATCGGTCTCTAGCGGATATTTCCAACGGTGTGTTGGTATTTTTCTTCCTCTGCTTCCACCATCAGGCACTGCGTCGAACTCTTTCAAAGCTGGAGTGCTTTCAAATTTATCAAAAATTAATTTTTCTAATTGCGATCGCTCCTTAAACGAGATTGTTAAAGCCTCCGAGTGTATGCCCGTCATGAAAATCAAAGCTCCTCATAAAAATCCATCGACAGTTCTAAGTCGGCTTAGAATAAAATTTAAGCCTCACCGTTTGCTGTTAAAACATAAAGACCCACACAAGCCACACATTAATGGTAGAAGTCGGCTGAAATTCGCTTCAGTGGTTATAAGGCGCCAATTATACATGTTGCATTAAAAACTGCATTTATTACTTTTTACCGTTAAGTAACATAATAAACATTACTTGCCATTGAAAGCAGTTAAAATCCTATAATAATTTTAAAGCGAAGAGAATGAGAGAAGACGAGTGAGCTGCGATGCCAAAATTGTGCTATGAAATGGAGACTAATTATTTATATAGACATAAAGATACCTTCGTACAACATTCCAACCGAATAGAATTATAAAAAAAAAGTTTATAAAAGTAATAATATCGTTGCCTAGTACTGGAAAGAAGAGAATCTCAAGTAAATTGAACCATAAATATGATATCTTCAAACAAGTCATTCCCGTGTTCACATCCCGGAAAAAGGAAAGTTAAGCAAAAAACTACGTAAGAATTAAATTTCAAGTAAATTTAATAACAGATACGATTTTTTTCATTATGTCAATGTGTGGTCCACTTTCACGAAGAAAAAATAACGCGCATGATAGTCCAACCACACGTAACAGAGTATCCTGAAAAGGAATTTCACATAAAACTAAGGTTCATGAAAACTCTATTAGAGACTTCGAAACATTGAAATATTTTTATAAATACTTTTATTTCTTTAAATACTTGAAACAATGTTTAATAATAAAAAATAACCTGCGAAAATAAACTATATTTTTATCATATACGAATAAAATCGAAATAAAAATTATTAACTCGAGTGGTTCGGTTTCAGATCTACTTGCCGTATTCTTCTTGTTGGGCCGTAAACAAATCCAAAACGTTTTGACTCAGCGAAAACGGTACAGGCCTTCTTGAGTTAGAAGCATAGTAACTATCATTACTCTCTTTTAACATATATATGTCATTTTACATCGTTTGTATAAATAAAAGTAATAAGAACTTAACGCTAACAACCCTATTCAATTACACCTGCCACCCTTTTTACGCACAGAGAACTACTCACTCAAAGCACTCATTCTACTCGTAGAGAAAAACTTTGAACTTGACTCAATTTACTTAAACACTCTTTCAATACAACTCACTCATTTGCGATTTAACTACTTTACACAAGAAGTGTAGGAGTAACCGGTACACGGAGTTGACCTGTTAAGGAAATGCTAAATCGAAATTTATAAGCAGTTATGTATGCATATATGTATGTATTTTAAATCATAGTGATCAATAAGAGTTTATTAAATAGATATAAATAAGTGATAATCATCATGTTCTAGTAAGATCTTGAATTTTCAGTGTCCATAATAAGTATAATTGAGTGTGCCAATTTCATATGCCTGTACATCTGTATACATGTATGTATGTATGTATGTATGGATGTATGTATGCACGAGTGTTTAATCTATATGTATGTATAATAAAAATAATTAATTGTAAAAATATTTTCAGGACAGATGGATGAATGTGTAGTCTAGTTAGCTGGTGGGCGCTCGCATAACGTATTCAGAAGGTTGTGACGTCACATTTGCACGAATCTCATATGATTATTGATGCATACATACAACTGTGTGCGTAATAATAGCAGTGGCTAATGGAATGATCTTCTTAAATAATATTTAAATAATATTAGTAATTTAAACTTGCCAATGCCAGAAAGTAGGCCCAAATACTACAACTTTGTATTTGAATTAATATCTGATGTAGTTGCCTCTTTCATGAAATCCCATTACTTTTTGTACTATTTATTGTGATTTAAAATAGCAGTGTCAGTGTCGTGTTGTGTGAACGAATTCGGGACAAACTCGAAAATTTAAATTGATTTTGAATACTGGAGGATTTACTTGTGTAAATATATCGTTTTTAAAATATTAGCATATCTTACTTTTCAAAACATGGGCCGCGTAAACCACTACACTGTGGAAAAACTATAACTAATTAAAAAATCATTGTCGGTAGGGAAAACGTACAAGTTTATTGAAGATTGCTAAAAATATTAGTGTGAAAAGTGCGCAAGAAGCTCCTTCTCGGCCAGAATTGAGAAAAGTTGTGTCTTTGTCCATGAAGAAGCCATTTTATGCCTCAAAAAGAATTAAAGAGGAGCTAAATGCCCCAGTGCATTCGTTCATAATTAGAAAACAATAGATAAAAGCCAAACTTTTTGGCAGCAGTCCAAGACGAGCGCCATTACTTCAACCCCGAAATGAGCAGGCCAGAATTAAATTTGCCGAAGAACACAAGCATTGACCAGTTCAGAAATGGCGTAATATTTTATGGTCCGATGAATTGAAAATTGTTTGGTTTGGTTCGAAGGGACGCCGACAATATGTGCGAAGGCCAGAAAAAGCTTCATTTCACCCCAGATACGTTTCCCGTACTGCAAAACTCTACGATGGTACTGCTGGATAAAGGAGAACATGGATGCCAAATGGTATGTCCAAACAATGCAGTCGACTATGCTGCCGCATGCTGAATGGAAGATGCCGCGGAAATGGGTCCATCAACAAGACAACGATTCTACCAGCAATTTGGCAAAACGTTGGTTTCCTTCAAATAGGATTGAGCTCATGGACTGGCCGGCTCGATCTCCTGACCTTAATTTCATTGAGAATTTATAGGCAGATGTAAAGAAAGCGGCAGGGAAAGAGTATCCATCAAATATGACACAATTTTGGACTGTAGTGAGAAATGCATGGAAGGCCGTCCAGAGAAATACAGGCATTTGGTAGATTCTATGCCTCGAAGGTGCGCAGCTATAATCTCCAATAATGGTCATTCAACCAAATATTAATAATTTAGGCTATATTCTGCAATATACAATAGTATTGAAATTTTTATTATTTTTTTAATGTTTTTAATGTAAAATGTTGAACACTGCTATTATTAATCACAGCTGAATTCTTCGTTTTTTACTCATTTTTATTTATTAAAGAAAAACAAAAAATATTTCATGGTTTACAACTTTGCTTCCGCCGTTTTCCGATAGGTGGCTGTACCGGCTGAGGCTGGCTGAAATACATACATAGATGATAATGCCTTTAAAGTGAGTGTTGATAGTGCCTAACGAATTGTCATCGCTTTTCAGTGACAGTTGTTCTTGTTTTCTTATTATTCACGCTCGAAAATGTCCGTTTATGTGCCTAATTCTCGCCATTTGCGGGAAGTTTTACTTTTCTATTACAATTCGAAAAAAAAATGCAGCTGAAGCGTATCCAATGCTCAACTTCAACGAATATTCACGGCGCCAAAGTTATGATTTGTATTTGGTGGGATCAGCTCGGTGTGATTTACTAAGAGCTCTTAAAACCGGGTGAAACCATCACTGGAAATCGCTACCGAACGCAACTGATGCGCCTTAGTCGCGCGCTAAAAGAAAAGTGGCCACAATATCAAGAGCGACATGAAAAAGTCATCCTCCAACACGACAATGCTCGGCCTCACGTCCCAAAAGTGGTCAAAAAGTACCTGAAAACGCTGAAATGGGAAGTCTTGCCCTACCCGCCGTACTCCTCAGATGTCGCCCCCTCTGACTTCCACCTATTCCGTTCAATGGCACACAGACTGGCAGATCAACATTTTCAATCCTTCGAAGAATTGGAAAAAAGGATTGCTTCATGGATAGCGTCAAAAGAGGACTCCTTTTTTCGAGCCGGGATCCGAAAATTGCCGGAAAGATAGGAGAAAGTTTTCGCTAGCGAAGGACAATACTTTGAATAATATATCTGTAAGCACTTTTTCGCAATAAAGTTGTACACTTGATAATTTTAAATGTGTAAATTTTTTATGTAAATATGAATATTAACAAATAAAACAAAATAAGACAAATCAAAGAACTTTAATTACACTCCTTGTTTTCTTCGATTACAATTTTTCTTATATGTCACTGCTATTATAACGCACACAATTGTATATACAAACTATGTGTATGAAAAGTTTGTTTCGTAGGCTAGAGCAAAACATAAAAAATACTCTACTTTATAAAATATGTAAATTTATTTCATTGTCTCCTTGTGTCATTCGATGAGCTGACTCTCTGGCGATAGATTGTCTAGTTTGTATCTATTTATGTAGTTAATTGGTGATTCTAGAATTACGAATTTTGTTTGTAAACAAAATACGTTCATCGTGGAGCTTGACAAATAAAGAAAAAATAATGAATGAAAAATATTTACCAAGGAAATTTAGTTGCGCCCACACAATTTTCCATAATCAAATCAAAAATGAACAATTCTATAAGGAATTATTCTAGAGCGAATTGCACATATGTATATATGTAGCATGTACTTGTATGTGTGCATGTATATATGTATATACATGTAGCAAGTGACAACTGGGAATGGTGATCATATTTTT